CCCCCCCACTGTCCTCATCCATAGGTGTACGATTTTTGTCCAGTCTCTTCCTGCACCCCCCACACCCCTTTCCCCCCCAAGAATAGTCAGTCCACTACCTTTCTATGCCCCTGATTCTATTATATTCACCAGTTTATTCTGTTCATCAGATTATTAATTCACTTGATTTTTAGATTCACTTGTTGATAGATATGTATTTGTTGTTCATAATTTGTATCTTTACCTTTTTCTTCTTCCTCTTCTTAAAGGATACCTTTCAGCATTTCATATAATACTGGTTTGGTGGTGATGAACTCCTTTAGATTTTTCTTATCTGTGAAGCTCTTTATCTGACCTTCAATTCTGAATGATAACTTTGCTGGATAAAGTAATCTTGGTTGTAGGTTCTTGGTATTCATCACTTTGAATATTTCTTGCCACTCCCTTCTGGCCTTCATAGTTTCTGTTGAGAGATCAGCTGACAGTCATATGGGTACTCCCTTGTAGGTAACTGACTTTTTTTCTCTTGCTGCTTTTAAGATTCTCTCTTTGTCTTTTGCTCTTGGCATTTTAATTATGATGTGTCTTGGTGTGGTCCTCTTTGGATTCCTTTTGTTTGGGGTTCTCTGCGCTTCCTGGACTTGTAAGTCTATTTCTTTCACCAGGTAGGGGAAGTTTTCTGTCATTATTTCTTCAAAAAGGTTTTCAATATCTTGCTCTCTCTCTCTTCTGGCACCCCCATAATTCGGATGTTGGTACGCTTGAAGTTGTCCCAGAGGCTCCTTACACTATCTTCATATTTTTGGATTCCTTTTTCTTTTTGTTTTTCCGGTTGGGTGTTTTTGCTTCTTTGTATTTCAAATCTTTGACTTGATTCTTGCGATCCTCTAGTCTGCTGTTGGAACTCCGTATAATATTCTTTATTTCAGTCAGTGTATGCTTAATTTCTAGTTGGTCCTTTTTCATATCCTCGAGGGTCTCACTAGATTTCTTGAGGGTCTCACTAAATTTATCGGCGGTTTCTAGAAAATTCTTGAAAAACCTTATAAGTGTGGTTTTGAACTCTATATCCAGTAGTTTGCTTTCCTCCATTTCTGTCATTTGTGACCTGTTTCTTTGTCTCCGCATTTTTTATGCTTCCCTGTGTTGATAGAGTGGTTTTCTGTGCTAGGTATCCTATAGGGCCCAGTGGCTCAGCCTCCCCAATTACCTGAGGTGGACACTCTTGGTGCACCCCTTTGTGGGCTTTGTGCACAGTCTTGTTGTAGTTAAGCCTTGATTGTTGTAGATAACACTGGGAGGGATTGACCTCCAGGCCAATTGGCTGTGAGAATCAGCTGTGTCTGCAGTGGAAGAACTTCTATGCTGGAGATACACCTCCGGGGCAAGACTTGCTTCAATGGGGCTTTGGTGCTCATTGAGTCTGCCCCCTGAGTGTGTCCTTTATGGATCTGAGGAGTTGTAATCTGGATGGTCCCACTCTGACCACTGGGTACACTGGCTCTTGGATCTCTAAGGAGGTGCTAATTTAGCCTCTGCCTGAGGCTACCCAGCAGGAGCTATGGAGAGATCTGCAGATTCCTCTTCTTTGTTTGGGGTTTGGAGGTGCCCAGATGAGGCCCAGCTGTGAAGCAATGCAAGCTGCTGTGGGGCCTTGGGCCTTCTTTTGGAAGTTCTGGGTCTCTCTGACTCAGCTGCAGTTTGTTAGGTAATTTTCAGATTGCAAAGGGCCAGGCCTTTCATATGCAAAAGCCTCTGCGCACAGCTTGGGTGGGGTGGGGTCTCAGGAAATCAACAGGGCGGAGCAAACAGCTATGGCTGCTCCTCAGTCCTGCCCTAAGAGGCCCGGAGTCTCAGTGTCCCGGTAACCGCTGCAAGCACCTCTGAGAGAAAGCCGCCCTCGAGTTCCGACCAATGCCAGACAGTCCAGTTTCTCCCCGTATGAGTCTGGGTCCCAGAGACTCGCCCGGAACTGGAGTTCAGAGCAGTCGGGATCTTGAGACTCCCTCCCGATTCAAAAAGACAGCTGCGTCCTTAGTTGCCAGCCCTTTCCGCGTGTGCCTCCGTACCTCTGCACTTTACTTCCGCACCTCCTCTGAGTCTCAGTGTGCTTTTCTCTTTCCTTCTAGTTGTAGAATTTCCACTCAGCCAGCCTTCCTGTGGTTCTGGATGATGTCCGTTTTGTCTTTTAGTTGTATTTTTGAAGTGGTTGTGCGAGGCAGCAATTTCAGGTGTTTACCTATGCCGCCATCTTGGTTTGCTTTCTGAGCAGCCTGTCTTAAAGGTGTGCAGAACACAATATCCAGAAAACGTTGCAACCAACACAGCGTATTGTAATGTGTTGTTCTCTGTCATGATCATGGGGCAACAGGAGCCCAGCATCACAAGAGAGATTGTATTGCATACCACTAGCCAGAAAAAGATCTACTAGTAGATTCAAAATTTGGCATTAAAGGCTAAAAATTGTAAGTCAGAGACCTGCTATACTTTAAAAATATGCCATTTCCACTTGGAATCCACGGTTTCTGGTGAGAAGTCACACTCCTCTGTACCTTTATTCTTTATATAGGGAGTGCAACTTTTTCTCTGGCTGTTCTCAAGATTTTTCTTTGTCTCTAGTTTCCAGCAGTTTATGATGTTTCCGGGCATTTAATTCTTTGGGTTTATCTGTTTGGAGTGTGTTGAACTTGGTGAATCTTTGCATTTCTTTATAAAATTTGGGGAGTTTTGGCTATTATTAACGATTTCAGCACTGCATTTTTTTTATCATCTCTTTCTGGCAGCCCAGAGACCTGAACCCAGACTTTCTGTTACCATTCTTCAAGTCTCTGAGGTTCTGCCCACCCCCCACTCCCTCAGTCCCTTGTGCTGTCTGTTCAGACTGCAGTGTTTCTAGTAACCTGCTGTCAAGTTCACCGACTCTTTCCTCTGCTGTTGAATCCATTCAGTGAGTTTTTTATTTTGATTATCACATTTTTGGTTTAAAGTTTCCATGAGGTTTTTCTGTATATCTTCTGTTTGTTTCCTGAGGTGCTCTGTTTTCTCTTAGTTTCGAGAGTGTTGTGATTGCTTCTGGGAGATTCTCAGAGCAGCCACTTCCTCACCTCTGTCTGATCCGTCTGACATCTGCTTCATCTCAGTGTGGTGTTTACCGATTGTCTTTCCCAGTGAGCTGAGATGCCCTGGGCTTTATATGCTGAGTAATCTGGGACTATATCCTAGATATTTTGAATATGCCTAGTGTCTGGGCCTTGTTTAAGTCCTGGGGAGAAAATTGATGCATAGGCTCCTACTGCAATTTTCACACCTTTGTCCTCCACAGCACGGAGCTGCCTCACATGCCCCCGTGCGTGGGGCCAGGGCCGGGTGGTGCTCTGTGTTCTCAGAGTCTGGTGTGCTGGCTCCTCAGGGTGAGGGCCGTGTGTGCTCAGCTTCAGGCAGGTCCTCAGTTCATGAACAGTTTTGCAGGTCACTTTCCCCGAGCTCTGTCAAGCTCTTCCCAGGTTCTGATTCCATTTGTGGGCCCCTGGCCCCCACTGCAGGTCTCAGTCCAGGTTCCACAGCTCCTCGTTTGTTCCGATTTTGAAAGCACCCCCACATAGGGACAGCATTTGGAAAAATCCAAAGTGCAGTACATGTATTCGTGAGGCAGGATTTTCATGCAGTTTTCAACTTACTGGACTGCGTTTTCCCTTTTTCAGGGTGAGAAGTCTGTATCGGTAGATGGGAAGTGCAGCGATGCCACACTGCTCAGCAACCTGCTGGAGGAGATGAAGGCTACATTGGCCAACTGCTGACTGTTGTCACTGAGGCCACCACAGAGAGGACGTGAAGGAGAGACGGGTTCCAACTGCTAGTTTCTCCTCTGTCGCATGTACTTATTCAGCCCGGCGTTAAGTCCACTGTCGTCACGGTTAGACATTGAGGTCATATGTTCACTGATTTTTCCCGTCATCTTTTTTACTTTGACTCTTCCCACTCTCTTTGGGGAGAAACCCTGCTCCAGTCCTCAAACCATCAGTGGCTCCTGTAGCCGGGGTCAACTGTACATGGCCGCAAGAGCTGTTCAAGGAATGGGTGTGACCACTGTCCAAGCCAGGACTGGGTGGGCCCGGGTGATGGGTGTACAGTGGACAGGACAGGGCAGGGAGGCACGTCCTGCTTCTGTGAAGTCATCCAATCCCACTAGTCTCCAAGTCCCCACCTGGGAGGCGAGAGATGGGCTGGCTGCTCACCACAGTGACATTCCCCTTCACACCTCACAGCCAGTCAGTTCTCTCTCGCCAGGAAACATGGTGGGGAAATGATCATGCAAGCCATTGTCCATTGCATTGTGTCCCACTGCTGTGTTTGTGTGCCGGGTAGAGAATGGCAATGGATTGCAAGGGGTGAGGGCTGCAGTCTGGGTAGGGATTTATTCAGGACCCTTAACAGAGCAGGGACTGGACATTGTTTTGTTTCCTTTTCAGTAAAATAGGTCTCGGTTGACATTGCTTGGGGTGAGCCACAGGCTTTGTCCTCCCGTCATATCCACAGCTGCTGGGAGGGCCCAGTCCTGGGTTCCATGGCCCCGATGGTGAAGCACATGCGTCCTGGGGAGGTCGGGTCCCTTAATGCGCCTCATGGGCAGGGCAAGGGGACTCTGGCCCACCCCAGTGAGACTTTCCTCAGAGATGATGGTCCTCAATGATGTTTTAACTATCCTTTTGATGAAAACTGTCACTTTAGCATGTAATCTATTGCAGAATCCTGTGCAGTGATTCTAGAATCTCGAAATTGTATGATGTGTTATATAAGAATTTGCTATCAACATTCCCATGTAAAGGAGACATATCACGCTGCTGTCATGATTTTGTGTCAAGACGATCCAATAAACTTGCAAAATAGGCATTTACCTGTTGGCGGGGGTCATCCCCTGGTGGCAGGGAGGTTGCGGGGGGCTGTGGGACACCCTCATCCTCTCGGGAGGTGACATGATCCCCATGCCATCCAGGTCCCTGGACTGGGAGTAATAGGGTCCAACACCACACAGTGGCCATCACCCTCCCTTTCCCAGAAACCGCACTGGTAAGAGGTGTGCTGGGTGAGTGGCGGGAGCAGATGCTAGAAGGAAAGCCCTGCTGCTGTTAATTCACCACATTGCCACTGGCTTTTCCTGACAACGCATGGACAGGGTGACTCAAATCCGGTCAGGCTGGGTCAGTGGACAGAGCCCAAATCAATCACAACTGGAATCTCCTAGTGTAGGGGGGTGGAGATCAGCCCCACATTAAACCCCACTTGGAGCACCAGTGGGGAGAAAGGCCTCGCCAGTCCTGCCTCTACCACCGTCAGCCAGCAGCCCTTTCCACTTCTCAGTGGGGAAAAGTGCATCATGTAGCACACCAACCCCTTGCATTGCCCTCGGGCTGGAAAGGCAAAGGCCAATGTAGAAATAGCAGTGACGGGGTGACCAGGATCCTGGTGATCAGCCAGCCCTGCTCCTGGCACACACCCCTCCCTGTGTTTATTGAAGACGTCCCATGACTCCATTATTTAACAGTCTATCCAAATATCACCTGAGCCTCTCATGCTGTTTTGTTTAAATCCTACCGGATAAACACACAGGTGAAAATGTGGCAAGCATTCTGTCAGGGAAACTTCAGTAGGAAGCTGTGCAGCATGTGTGGGGTCCTCAAAAGGTCTGTGACTCAACCCCCACTCTCCCCCTCCAGACACAAGAACAAGAAGGAGCTGGAGGAGGAAGTCAGGGAAGCAGCACCCAGGCCGAGAAAGGAGTGCCTGCTCAGGACAGACTGACAGGCAGAAAAGGTACCTCAGGGCAGCATTTCAGAGCCGCCCTCCCGTCTTGGAACAGCTATACAGCCTGGATCACAATCCATGTGGAGTGTTTTCGAAGCAGTGCTGTAGGGTTCCTTGGACTGAGGTTCAGCCCCACATGACCTGATGACCTGAGCCCCATGATACACTGAAGCCAACCCTGTCTCACTAGACTGCCGTCTCCCTTTGAATCATCAGAACCATCTCGCTCCCAGGCTCCTTTCCGGGTGCGCCTGCCCAGGTACGCTCTGGCACATCACAATCAAATTGCTGTGGGGACGGACCTTTGGACCCTGTGCCCATGACCGGATGGGTCTTGCTCGGGCCTCACATGGTTCTCCCTGCCCCTACAGGGACTGCTCCATGAGGAGAAGTGTCAGGGACATTTAATCATCCATCATATAGTTCTGATCCCACCCAGCATCTGCTGTATACAATCCACCCCCCTTCCCCTCCTCCCAGCCCTGGCCCTGCCTGGGCTCTGAGGGGCTTGTGCAGGGACCCCCAGAAAGCAGCAAGCCTGCTCCAGAGTCAGGCTGGGACAGCCCAGCTGAGCCCTGGCCCCACACTGCAGCTGGGGTGGGTCCAGTGGGCCCGATGGCTATCGGCGCTGTGTCAGCACTCAGAAGCATTGTCCAGTGTCAGGTTGATGAGGTGTGGGGGCTCTAGACCCATGAAGCTTGGTGATATCAGGCTGCAGAGAGAAACAGGTGTCTCAGTACTTCCTCTCCCATCTCCACCTCAACCTAACTGGTAGGTGTTTGCTAGGGGCCTGGGCCTCTCCTCCCATGTGGGGCATGTGACAGGGCTGCAGACCCTCAAAGTTTTGTCCCCACCCAACTCCCACCTGACCAGGGCTTTGGACAACTGGGCCCTGGTTAGCCCCGTGACCCCCAAGTCCCTCCACTGGGGTACATCCATCATGGGAGCGGGGGTTCCTCCTAGGTTCTAACCACAACCCTGCCACCCACTTGGGGCAGGGTAAGACCAGACTGTGGGAAGGGACGCTTTAACCAAGATGATCTGCCCCCCTTGTGCCAACTGAGCTCAGAGACCCTTGAGGAAGGAAGGGCTGGGGCCCGGAGCACAGGGTCCAGGTCCTGCCTCCTGGTGGCTGCCCTCACACATACCCTACTGACTCTGATAAAACTCATGTTGGTTTGGAGAGGGGAGACTTGTGCCAATTATTTCTACAACTCACATGTAAAGGAGGAAGCCCTGCACAGCTGTGTTCCACTGCACCGGCAACCTGTGGGGACACAGGGTGTGGAGCCAGTGTGGCCCTGAGTTCAGAGGGCCAGTTGTGCCCACCCCATCCTACCCACGTGATGAAAGGCAGGGAGGAGGGGGAGGAGGGACACCCCATGGCCCGGACAGAGGCTCACTCACCACAGTGATGCTGACAATCAATGCGGCCTGTGCAGGGACAAGAGCATGGAGAGCACTTTCTTAGCAGGCCCTGCCTGTGACTCCAGCCCACCTTCTCAGGCCTGCCAAGGCTTAGGGTTTGTCCATCAGTCACTTGGGGTGGCTCCTAGTCTGGAATGGAGTGACTACTGGACAGGGTGGCAGCAATACTCAACAGTGCCTCTAGGGGCCAGCTGGGGAAGGTGGCAGGGAGGGAGAGATGGGATTTATCTTCCAAGGGGCCCTGCTGGCGCCCAGGGCATGAAAGGGTTCCTCCCTCAGGGAGATGCCCTGCTCCGGGATTTCTGTCTGGTCCCATGCTGGTCGCAGGCTCTGAGTTCTAATGCCCGGATGCACTGACACCCTATCCACATAACTCCAGCCCCAGCTACGCCCTGGCCCGGGGCTCCCAGCGGATGAGAGGCCTCTAAAATACTCCTGTGGTCCTGGGTCCCCTAGGCCCTGGGAAGCATGCCCCTGCCTCAGCCTCCCTAGCTCACTTTCAACGGTGGCGTTCTGGATGCGGTGCACCCGCTCCCAGAAGATGCGTGAAGCTCCTTGGGGAAATACCCTGATGGGGGTTGGCAGGAGGAGGGAAGTCAGGTTCGAACGGTGCGCGGTCCGGGGTGTCCTAGGGCGGGTGGGCCGTCCCCTTATCCGGGAAATACATCTTCCCCAGGTACAGCTGATCCAGCTTCTGGTACACGGTGTTTGCCACTTGGTTCAGCTTTTCCCGGGCTAGGCACTGAAGGAGGGGTCCGGTGAGCGGCCCGGGCCGGGGCCGGGGTCTGCCTGGGCCGGGGACGCACCGATCGCGGGGATGGCCAAGTGCAGCGCCTTCATTATGTCCTGGCTCCAGTCGGTGAGCAGCAGCCCGACACGGGGATGTCGTCCCCCTACCAGGACTTGAGGTTCATGTGATGGCGGGTGAAGAACGCCAAGAAGTTGCCATGGCAGTGCAGGCAGCCGCGGGCCAGCGCGGCCTTCAGCTGCAGGCACAGCGGCAGGGCCATGGCCTGGCCACGCTCACCACCAACTGACCAACCGCACCTCCGCGCCACGCCTCGCCACCACGCACCCACCAACGGCGCCCTCGGGCCCCGCGACGGAAAACTGCAGACGCGGGCTCAGCCTCCAGGCCTCGCCCACGAGCCGCCACGCCCAGAAAGTCTCCCCTCCCCAGATCGGCCCCACCCTCGGGCCGCGACCCTCCGAGCGCCCACAGTCGGCGGCGCCAGCTCCTCCTTCCAGGCCGCTCCCCGCTCGAGGCCCCGCCCCGCATCCCCAGCACAGGGGAAGCTCCGCCCACAGGCTTCAGCCGCAGGCACTAGCCAATGGCATCACGGCTTCGGTTGCCAAGCAACATAGAGCGCGGTGTCGCGGTGCGCCCCCTCTCGGTGGATACCTCGGCCCCCAGCTCCGCTTCCGGGGAGGCCTTCGTCTGTAGCGGAAGTAGATCCGGCCGGGCGGGGCCGGGGCAGGCTGTGCGCGGAGTTCCTCCTCGGCGGGAGGCGAGGTGCGGACTGGCGGGCAGCCGGGGACAGAAGACCGAGGACGGAGGCCAGCGCAGCCCGGCCGGTCGGCGTGAGGCGGCAGGTGGGTCCTCGGCCGGGGATCGCGGGCGGTGGACAGCCGAACATCGCGAAGTGGCGGGCGCGGGCGGCGGGAGTCCTGGTCCCTCAGGAGCGGCAAACGCGGGCGGCGGGAGGGAGTAGTCGTGGTCTCTCCGTCGAAATCGTGGCTGCAACTGTCACTTAGGGATCAACCCCGAGCCGTGCCACTTACTATCGCTAGGCCCCCGCCACTGGTTTGGGGCAATTGCGCAGGATTTCAGGGCTCCTACCCCACGGGGAGTCGGCTTTTCGGGACCCGAGCTTCTTGCTTCCTGGTCCCGAGTCCCTGAGCGCTGGGCAAAGGCTGGGCGCGGGGTGTTGGCATGTCCGCACTGCCCATTGCGGGGACTTCGCAGTTGCGTCCCTGCACTGGCTGGTGGGCCGGCATTTGTTGGAAAGGACCACGTATTCTATAAGATGTCACTGAAAGGGGAAGAGGGGCGTGGTTGGAAAATACAGAAAGTCACAAAGCAGAAAATAAATCATGGGTGACCTACCACCCAGAGAGCCCGTGTTAATCTTAGGTGAGATTCTTCTGGTCTCGTGAGGGGTAGTGGGTATCCATGCACTGCACATATTTAAAGCACGCAGGTGAATTTGGAGTATGATGTGCATATTTCACAGCCCAGGGCCTGCCTGCGCTACCTGGTTTTGGACTTGCTGGTGTCACACGTGGCCTCTGGGCAGCTGCCTTCTCCTCCTTCCCTCACCCAATACAGAGGGGGTGCTTATAAGCCCATTTTACACACGCAGTGCTCAGTGACGCCACGGGGCTGCCGATTCCCCAAAGCCCTGAGCCCCTGTTCTCTGCCCTTTGACATCGTAAAAAATGAGTGGCCTTTTTTTTTCTCCCTGTTAATCCTCATCTGAGGGTATTTTTTCCATTGATTTTTAGAGAGAGTGGAAGGGAGGGAGAGAGAAAGAGAGAGATAGAAACATCGATGTGAGAGAGAGACATCAACTGGTCAGTCGAACCTGAGACTGAGTATGGAGTGCGAACACAGCAAGTGCGAGTCCTGGCTGCCCTGGCCCCAGGGCCCCCTGCTTCCCGCTTCCCTCCCAAAAGGCACCCGTTTCTTCACCCCAGATCCTGCTCTGATAGCTGTGTTTATCCTCCCTGGACACCCACCTTAGACAGCACCTGTCCCGTTGCTCCTTTCTTCTGACAACTGGATTTTCTCTTCTTTTAAAACCCTCTGGAGCCCTGGCCCGTGTGTTCAATGGTTAGAGCGTTGGCTGAGCACCAAAGGGTGGAGGGTCAATTCCCAGTCAAGGGCACATACCTGGGTTACAGGTTCGATCCCCAGGTTGATCGGGGCCTGTGGGGGAGACAGGTAATGGATGTATTTTCTCTCTCTCTCTCCACTTTCTCCAGAAATCAATGGAAAAAATATTCTAGGGTGATGATGAACAAAAAACCCTCTGTCCAGGGCAGCGGCCATGGGCAGCTAGTGAGCCCTCCAAACATGGCTGGATTAAATTAGGACCTGCTATATGTGCAAAATGAACACCAGATCACAGAGGCTCCTATGTTTTTAAAAGGCAGAAAATCTCCTTAATATTTTCTGTATTCCTTAGGTGTTGAAATGATATTTTGTTGCCCTTGTGTTAAATAGAATATATTATGACTGTTGATTTTACCTGTTTCTTTTCATTTTCTTACTTTTCAATGTAGCTACTGAAAATTTTGAAATTAACCACGGGTGTACATTATATTTCTAGTGCCTTCCATGGTGTTTATTCTTTCTGCAAATATATGTTCAATTCTGGCTTTCCTAGGCTTCGTGGTTTTTTGCTTCCTGTTTGTGGCTTTAGTAACTTCTTCATAGGGGTGAGCTACTTAAAGGACTTAGCCAAATGCTTGGTGTTTTTAATTGGTGAATTAGTGTTAGCTATAATTTTTCTAATAGACTTATTTATTTATCTATTTATTTATTTATTTTGTTAATACTCACCAAGGATATTGATTTTTTAAAGAGAGACAGTGGAAGGAAGGGGGAGAGACAAAGAGAGAGAAACATCAATATGAGAGAGACACATTGATTGGTTGCTCCCTCACGCACCCCAGCTGGGGCCGGGGATGGAGCCTGCAAACCGAGGTACGTGCCCTTGGCCGGAATCGAACTGGAGACCCTAAGGACTGACACTCTAACCGCTGAGCCAAACCGGCTAAGGCTTAATAGACTTCTAGAGCAGTTTTGGACTCATGGCATAACTGAGCAGAAGGCACAGAGATTTCCCATTACCCTGTATCCCCACATGTGCACAGCCTCTCCCACTGTCAGCCTTCCTGACCAGAGAAGGGTAGTTGTTACAAGGATGAGCCTACACTGACACACCACTATTACTCCCAGTCCATGGTGACATATGAGTTCATTCACTCTTTGTGTATAGTGACATGTGTCCACCATGACAGTGTTAGAGTAGTGGCACTGCCTTAAAAATCCTCTATGCCCCCCTGTTCATCCCTCCCTCCCCCAACCCCTGGCACCCTAGACCTTTTAAGTCTGTGTAGTTCTGCCTTTTCCAGAATGTCACCTTCTCAGACTGTATTCTTTCTCTTAGTCATGGGCAGTTACAGTTCCTCCTGTCTTTCATGGCTGATAACGTACTTTTTATTGGAACCTCCCTAAAGGAGAGAGTGTGTCTTTATCATCTTTGCATCTCCTACACAGCAGAGCTCAACGTTCCCCGTGTCCCAGGCCTCTCAAGTAACTGTGATAATCTGTAAGTCCCCTCTCTCTCTCTTCTCTCTCTCTCTCTCTTGCTCTCTCTCTCTCTCTCTCTCTCTCTCAGCAAAAGCTGCGTTTTAGTGCCTCAGGGGATTCGTGGAAGTGCTAGTTCAGTTCCTGAACTTTTTAGACAATTCATATTCTGACAAGTTTCAGCCAGGCTGTTTCTTCTGTGGAAATGCTCCTGCTTCGCGGCTGAGCTTACGTTCATGGGAAAGTCAGCCACTAATTACCTTCTGAGAGTTGTTCTCCCATCTCCAGAGCCTCATAAAATGGAGGCTTAACAAAATCCCCAGCAGCGTCTAGGAAGTTGGGTTTTTACTCTGGGAAGTTCCAGACGTGCCCCAGCTGGTGAGCTCTGTTTCTGATTTCCTGGAATTACGAAGTTCAGATAGTTTAAGCAGAAAAGGGGAATCTGGCTTCAGAAACTGGATTCTGGGAAAGACAAGGTCACGCCTGCGCTGAGTCCCAATAAGACATTTGGGGTGGGCGCTCTTCGGGGCCGTCCTGGGCACGGCAGGGTGTTGAGCAGCATCCCTGGTCCCAGCCCACTCAATGCCAGGAGCACCCGCGGTGTGACAAACATAGCTGTCCCCAGGCGTTTCCTGGGGTCCCCCGAGGGCAGGACCACCCTGGGTGAGACCCACAGCTGTAGCTGACTTGCTGGGAGCTCTTTACGGACCCCCCCCCCCCCCCCCCCCGGAGAGAGTGAAACCCTTGAGTGGATGGGCCTGGCCCTCAGAGGACAGCTCAGAGCTGTGACTCCTTCCCTCCAGAGCCCCCTGTCTCTGAGGTCAGTGCACAGTCCAGTCCATATCTGAGGATCCCGATGTGAAAAGGAAGCGTGGTCAACAATAAAGAATTATTATTTTTAAAAAAAAAGAGGAAGTGTGAACAGCCAGTGATGGGCATAAGTGTGGATGGGCGTTCGGGGCACCGTTTCATGTGTCCTGCCCTTCCTGACATGCCTCTGGTCAGTGAAGGTACATTGAAAGAGGTGTGGCTCCTAAGTGGACACATCAATGACCCATAACCTTTCTCACCTTCCTCTGTCCCCCAGGTGACACGGTTTTGTCAAACAATATATCTGTACCAGTATTTGCCCCAATGGGAAACTGAAGCAGAGAAAGCTGGTCCATGCACACACCACACCCCTCTCTGTCTCCCCCCCCCCCCTGTTTAATTCTTCCATTACCCCTCTCTGTCTTGATGGAGAGGCTGGGATGTAGGGACACCCAGTTCAGATCTCAGCCCACCTCCGTGTGCTGTGAGTTCTTAGCTCTCAGCCCTGGGAAGGGTCCCTTCTGCCTCTTTCAGCTGCTGACTTACTGGCAGTCCTTAGTGCCTCTGGGCTTACAGACGGATCACCCATGTCTGCCTCTGTCATCACATGACCATCGCCTCTGTGGGTCTGTGTCCAAATCTCCCTCTTTATGAGAACATGTGTCCTTGCATTGGGTCACTCTGCTCTAGTGTGACCTCACCTTAACTAATTACACCTGCAAGACCCCATTTCCAAACAAGGTTCCATTCATAGTTACCAGGGTCAGGATTTGAACATGTCTTTAGGGGACATGATTCAGTTCTTAATGGGAGTGGGAGTGACTACTGATGGGCACAGTGTCTTTTGGGGTGGTGGGAATGTTATGGAATTGGGGATGGTTGCAT